GGGGGGGGGGGGGGGGGGGGGGGGCAGGGTCAGGGTTTAGGGGAGTGCCTCCTTCTTCATCTTTTGAAAGGGGACGGGTCTAGGGTTTAGGGCTTCTATTTTCTGGTGAGGGATCGCATGGAGGGGAAGGGCTTGGGGCTTAGGGTGTTTCGCTACAGTCGTGGGTGTGTTTGTTTCAAGGGCTTTTATTTCGAGTATTTTACACGACACGCTAAGGTCTCTTAGCTTGTTGGTTTGGAGGGGTTTGGGGTGGTTTATGAAACAGTTTCAAGCAGGGGTCTTTCTTCAGAACCTGTTGGGGGGATCAGAAAGGTTCCAAAACGGGTTCGAACAGTGGTCTGTAAGGGGTTCCCTAAACCTAAACCCTAAACCCTAAGCAATCAGTTCAAAAAGGAATTCGGATTTGCGGTTTCATCCCGGGGAAGCTTATGAACTCTTCCGCAATGCTCCATAACGGGTCGACAGGGCTCTTTAAGGGTTTTGAAAGGGGGCCGGTCTTTCAGGGTAAAGCCTTGTAGGCCCATACAGATTAAGGGCGGACCCTAAACCCTAAACCGTGCAGAGTAAAGCTTTGATGGCCCATAAGATGCGCTCGGACAACACACGGGGACCTGCGAAAATGCTGTCTATTACCACTCCTCGTCATTCCTCCCTTGTTACATATGTCCACAGCTCAAGCCCTTAACCCCAAAGTATCGGGATTCATCTAAAGAACCTTGTCGAAGACCCAGGGTTTCTAAGCCAGGTTCCTCTATGAACCCCTAGTTTAGGGTTCAGGGTTATTGACAAACAACTCACCCCTCCCGGCAGGATGGCACAGCCAGCTTGAGTTCCTTGCTGGACTTGTCATGGTGACTGGGCGACAGGTTTTGGGGTTCAGGGTATGTAGCTAATGATATTCCTAGGAGTTTAATTTGTTTCGGTTCCCCGGAAGATGACATGGTGTGGTATTTAGGCCCTGAGCCCTAAACCCTGATCTTTTAATACGAGTTGTCACCACCGACCGCGCCCTTGAACCTAAGCCTCGGAACCTTAAGCCCAGAAGCCCCAAACACTAAACTTCCCATATTCAGTAGGCTGTCTGCTGTAAGTAATCAGTCGCCACGACCCGAGTATGAGCCCTCCTTCATGACCTCTTAAAGCACGACTAACATCGGTTTAGAGTTTAAGTATGGTTTGAGAAAGGGCTCACCGTTTATTCTAATCCCTAAACCTCAAACTCCAAAACCCTACACCCTAAACTCTAAACCCAAACCCTCCCCTATAAACACCTATATATATATATATACACACACACTAAACTCTGAACCTCCTGAGCCCTCAGAGCTCCGGATCCGGCGTAAGCAGGTTCCCATCGCTACATCTTGGTAACTTCGGTTCGGACAACGGACACTGGAGCCTCCCCAGCACGCAGGCGCGGGTTTAGGGTTTAGGGGTTTAGGGGTTTGGGGGTTTAGGGTTTAGGGTTAAGGGTTTAGGGTTTAAGGGTTTAGGGTTTATGGTTTAGGGTTCAGGGTTCAGGGTTTAGGGCGAGACTCCTTCATGGTTGTCTCAGGCTTTGGGTTTGGGTTTAGGGTGTTTCCTTGGCCTTGGGCTTATAGAAGGTTCAGAAGTTGTGTCACTTCTGGGAACCCTGGCAACACCCACCTGGATAGTCCTGATTTCATGAAAGGATCATATACCCCAGCACCCTAGTCTAATAGGAAAGGCCCATAGATTACCTTTACAACCCTTAAAGGAACTCTTGACATGAACCCTTGAAAGGAACCCCTCAAGGAACGCCGAAGGGATGCTTACGTATCGTGCCCGCTAGGACGCGAGCTTCGAGCCGGATGGGGAGGACTCGGCTGAGTGCGTCGCCGTTAGGTTTTAGGGCCTCGGGTTGGGTTTTCCGGTTTAGAGTTCAGGGGTTCAGGCCTTTGCGGCTTAAGGCTTAAAGAGGTTTAGGGCCTCGGTTCAGGGAGGTTTTCGGGTTTTCTACGAAAGGGTTGGATTTCGTTTAAAGGGCTTGCCGAGGGCCGGTAAGGGTTCGAAAGACTGTAGAGTGTAGAGTTCAGGGTTTGGGGCTTGAGGTTTGGGCTTTCGTTTTGCTGGTCGGACCTAAATTCCGTGTTTTTCTCAGAAATGCACCTAGGGCCAGGTAATGCCCGAGAGCTTTTCAGCTGGCTCAGGCAGCACCGAAGGTGCTGACATTGCGCCACGGCCATGCAAAAAGTCGTGCGTCACCCAACCTGGTAGACCTGTCTCTCGCTCTCTCTCTCTCTCTCTCTCTCTCTCTCTCGCTCGCTATCTCTCTCTCTCTCTCTCCTCTCTCCTCTCTCCTGTCTCCTCTCTCTCTCTCTCTCGCTGTCTCTCGCTGTCTCTCGCTGTCTCTCCCTCTCTCTCTCTCTCGCTGTCTCTCGCTGTCTCTCGCTGTCTCTCTCTCTCTCTCTCTGCCTCCCTAGCCATGTGTCCGCGGTTCGCACAGTATTACAAAGATATCACATATAATAAATATATTGACACACATGCACATACGCATACATACGTATACATATACATTTACACACACATACACTGCATGCATACGTACATACATACATACATACATACATACATACATACCTACGTGCGTACGTACATACATACATGCACGAATAAATACACACAAATAGGCGTGTGTGTGTGTGTATATATTTATATATATATATGTATACACATGTGTGTGTGTGTGTGTATTTATTAACAGGTATATATATATATATACATATGACAGTACACGTATGTATGGAGATTTGTGTATGTATATATATATATATGTATCATACACCGCTACACGTATTTATATGCATGTGTTTGCGTGCTTATATAAGCACCAGCTGTCTCTCGTGAGGTCAGGGCATGGCTACATGGACACTTCGGAAAAGCTCTGGGTCGAGTGCTTTTTCCTGACAGCTTCGAAGTTGTGCTCCAGTGACTTCCTAACCTGTGCCACTGATGTAACGATAGTATGGAGAAGGATGTATGCATGCATGGATGGACGGAGGGATGCATGGATGGATGTGTGTGTGTGTGTGCGTGTTTTCAGTTGTATATGGGGGTTTCCGAAATAGGGGACCCTAATATAGTACCCTTAAAAAATAGGATCCTTATTATAAGGACCCCAAACTAAGGTACCCTAATTTTCGGAAACTCCCATATTTTTTCAACAGCAAGCTTGCGCTGCAGACTTTGCACAGACCAGGTCGCCGCTTCCGCACTGCATTCACTGAGTCTGGGACGCTGCCTTAATAGTTTAGGATGTAGGATTTAAGGTTTAGGGTTTAGGGCCTTAGTGGTTTAGGATGTAGGATTTAAGGTTTAGGGTTTAATAGGGTTTTGGCGTTTTGCTGTCCCTGCAGGGTTTTGCGCACAGTTGCAATGCAGGTGGTTGCTCCGCTCAATTGGCTGCAGCCCAAGGTTGCCTACACCTATTTGTTGCTGATTATCAGTGAGTAAGATGTAGCCTAAACCTGAAACCCGCTTTTGGCCAGCTATGCCCAATTGAAGCCTAGGCAGTTTGCCTCGACGAAGGAGCCAACCAGCGCAAGTGCCAGCGTCGCAAAAAAGTGCTTCGAAGACCAAGCTCCACATATTGGACCCCAATGCGAAGCCCTGAACCCTAAACCCTAATAAACCTTAAGCCCAATGTAGAGCACTGAACAATCAACCAGCTCCCCTATCGAGGATCTGGACGGATCGGATTGTTAGGACCCTATAAGAACGGTGCCTACAGCGCTTAGGTTTAGGGTTCACGATTCTTCAGGGTTCAGGCTTCTGTGTTTAGGGGTTTGGGGTGCAGGATTTTCGGGTTGTTGGCACAACCAGGGCGCCAGTCCGGCTGAACCCTAAACCCTAAACCCTAAACCCTAAACCCTCCAGCCCAGGGCAGCAGTTCATCAAGGATCGATTGCAGGGTTGTTTTGGGGAATGTCTTCGGTCGATTGCAGGGCTTTCCGTCTCATGGCCTTTAGCCGTAGGCTCCATAGTAGTTCCTTTTTGTGGTTTATATTTAGGATCCTAGAAGGTAATCCCAAAAGGTACGACTATGGAGCCCATGGGTAGCACCAGCAGGCCCTAAACCCTATAATCCCTACAGGACGTGATGGCTGCATCCCGTCCTGTAGGTTCCTCTCTGCTTTCTTTCTATGCTACTAACAGACCCCTAAGCCCCTAAAAACTAAGCCGTGTTTAGGGTTTTAAGAGCAGACCCCTAAACCTACATCAGCCGTTTTCTCAAAAAAGCGCAATGCATGCAGCATGGCTCCAGCGAAGCCCTTGGAATCCCTTGGAGGGGTTTGGTTGTCCGATTCTGAGGAAAGGGCGGGCTTATCCCAGACAAACGCTTAATATAGAAGCCTAAATACATACAGATATTTTTCCCTTCGGGTTCCTCAAAAACTGTAGACTATAAAGGAGCCCACAACCCTATTCTACTGATTAGGCCTCCGACATTAGGGATCAGGATGTCTCAACGGCCCGTCAGGGTTGCCAGCATCTGTTGCCCGCGACCTTCGGATCTTGGGATGCCTAAACCCAAAAGCATATAAACCCTAAACCCTATAAACCCTAAACCCTAAACACTAAACTTTAAACGGTCAGGGGTTTGCGGGCTCCAGAAGAAAAGTACTAAACCCTAGACCCTAAACCTCAAACTTTCCACCCTCGGCGCACCATGACCGAAGATAGCTCCCCACTTCACACGCCGAAGCGCCGCCGGAGCCTGAGATCGGTTCTGCATGTGGCAAAGATGGGGAAAGTGATCCCCAAAGGGTCCTAAGTACTTATACTAAAGTACAAAGTAAGGTCTCTGGAGTAGGAATTACTGTTATGCTCTGGGCAAGTGTGCCCCATTCAGGGCTCCTTTTAAGGGGCTGCTGTAAGGGCTTCTACCCTAAACCTAAACCCTAAACCCTAAACCCTAAACCTAAACCCTAAACCCTTAACCCTACACCCTAAACCCTTAACCCCAAGGGCTCCTGTAGTTAAGGCTTCCGTTAGAGGCACTCAAAGCAATTGTTACCAAGGTTTGAATGCCGCTGAGTGCCTTGGATGCAACAAATATGGGTGGTTGTCAAAATTGTGGTCCGTTTTTGGGTCCTTATTATAATACGGCACCTATTATTTAGGGTACCCCAAAAGGGACCCTAATTTTGACAACTACCCAAATGAAGACTTAGGGTTTGGGTGCTGGGGATTTAGGGTCTTAGTCTATCGTGTAGGGTTTAGGGCTTTGAGGGTTTAGGGTTTAGGGTTTAGGGTTTAGGGTTTAGGGTTTAGGGTTTAGGGTTTAGGGTTTAGGGTTTAGGGTTTACGGGGTCTGGGGTTTGGGGACTACGAGTTGCAATGAACACTAGGAAAGTCTTTCTGGTGTACTTTTGCTCCCAATGCTTGAGAGTTTAGGGTTTAGGGTTTAGGGTTTAGGGTTTAGGGTTTAGGGTTTAGGGTTTAGGGTTGAGAGGCCTTGTTGAAAAGACTCAGAACCAACCTGCATCCATAAGGGTTTCTAGAAGGGTACTATAAGGGCTCAATTTGGGTAGTTCTCTAGATTCGGGTCCCCTTTTTAAGGTGCACCCAGAGTAGGTCTAGAAGCCGGGTATACATATACATCTAGTGTTTGTGCTTCGTACTTGTCTAATCTGCCTATCTGTCAAAGCACAGAATATAGAAGCCAAAATAATTACCTATATTATTCTTAGGGTGCCTTATTAAAGGAGCCCAAAGCCCTATTCTAACTATGAAGGCCCCTGCATTACGTGCATGAACGATAGCTCACGGGTTTTCGGTTATGCCGGTCGACGGCTTGTTGCTATCTACTGCATACCAAGACAAAGCAACGCAGGAGCCCATAAGGATGCGTACCAATAACATGTACCTATAGTCTCCATGGTAGTTCCTTTTTTTTGGTTTAACCAAATATATATTAACGAGTTTATAAGGTATCCCCCAAAAGGAACTACAATGGAGACTATAGGTATGTGAGCAGGCGGCAGTCCCATACGACTTTCAGCTGAACGGCATAAGCCCAGGCACTGCTAGGCACTATAGGGGCAATAATAATTAGAATAGGGTTTGAGCGTTCCTTAGTATAGTTATAGTATAGTATAGTATACCCAAAACCCTATTCTAATTAGAATAGGGTTTGAGGGTTCCTTAGTATAGTTATAGAATAACATACCCCAAACCCTATTCGAATTATAGAGGCCCCTATATTTTACATTGTAGAAGCGCAGTACATGTTGTTGAAACTTGGGCTTTGCTTGAAAGCCCGACCCTAACTCCTAAACCCGGAACCATAAGCGTTGTCAAATGGGGGTTGTGTGTCATGGCTTTTTCAAGAAGTGATCTTTTTTCCGGGGCTCTTTATCTCCCAACCTTGCAGGTCGAACATCATCGAAAACAACAACT